AGGGGCGGGGTTTCAGGAGGCAAAAAATGCTGTATTCAGTGTATAAGACGCACCCAGATTTTCAGCTTCTTTTTTGAGGGAAAAGGGTGCGTCTTATACAGTAGTTGTTTCTTTCTTTGATATCTACCCCAAAGGCTCTACTAACAGTTAGGGGCTATTAAATCATGTCGACTACAAGCGACTGATGGAAAAATAGTCTTCCTCCCATCCTGTCTCCAATAATACTTCCAAGAATAGTCTTATATCACACTTTGATACTATACACCTGTCTTATCCATAGTCCTCACATCCTTTTACTTCTCTCAAATTTGCCATGCAGAGTCATTTGTTCTATTCCATCATCTGCTCGTGTCACATGCTCAAAATATGTAAGCTTCCATTTGTTGATCTTTATCAAGGGAGTTCCCATTTGTTCTGAGAGCAACTGAAATAATTTTTTTTTAAACTTCTTAGTTTTACTTTAATAATTAGCTAAGTCTCCTTTATTTTGGGCTAATAAAGGCGTATCATTTGCATGTCTTAAAGGATTAGCATTTCAGCCTCTAAATTTGAGTCCAGCTGCCATTTCATCTACTCCTACCATTCTTATAATATATTCACTATATAAATTAAACATATGGGGCTCTATGTATTCTTATCTCACTCCCTTTCGTATTCTGAACCACTTTATTTTTTCCAAATTTCATTTCTTACAGCAGCTCATTGTAAAGTCCCTCTGAAGAATAATCTGATGTTCTGGCATTCCAATTACCCTTAATGTATTCCATACTCTGGCATGATCTACAATCAAAGGCCTAGTTGTGGTTAATAAAGAAAAAGGTAGATCTCCTCCTTATATTCTCTTGCTCTCTCCACTATTCTTTTTGTGACAGGTATCAGATCCTGGGTCCTTCTGACTTTTGTGAATCCTACTAGCTAATTTACCATTTCTTTTTCCATGTATTGGACTTTTTTCTTTTTGACAACCTTAAGAACTTTACTTGCAAGGAAAAAAATTTCACATCTCCCTTCTTCAGTTTCAGATATCTGTAGATATAGCTGAGGTCTGGACCATACAGTCTTGTTTCACATTTGTTGAGCGAGAGATGATGGTACTTTATCTACAATTTTAACTAATCCACACCTGGCACTTCTCTATCAGTGAGATAAATAGATAATTTCCTCTTTGAAATTCTGGGAATATTTTTTTTCTGCTTTGGATTTATACTATCCAATATATTGCTTCTACATCCTGGTGTTCTCTTTCCATGTAAGTCAGGAGTGTCAAACTGGTGGCCCGCTGGCTGGATGTGTTACGTGCAGGCCACAACTACTCCAACTCCATAAAGGGAAAAAATGTCCTGAAACGTCACATGACAGCAATGTGACACAGTGAGTTTGACACCCATTTAACTTACCCATGTAAGTTAAGCAAATTCCTTTCATAGATTTTTTTTAGATCCTTCAAGTCAAATTTTGACGACCCAGATAGTCTTTTTAATGTTATAATTCTAACTCATGTATTTGATACCAATAATACATGGCCTATTCCATGTATTTGAATCTGATTCTGTGGCTTACGGCAATTCACAAAAACATGTCTAAAAACAAAAGTACCCTTTCTCCCAGCAACAGACCAAACCTCTTTCCAGTCAACCCCAGCCTAGCCATGCCAATGCTTGGGGAAAGTGCCAGGTCTTCACAGCTGTCAAGTGCAAAAGATCAGGTCCACAGCTGAAAGTCCAATTAAACTGATTTATTGCTAGTCATACCTATGAACAGGAATATTCACAACTGATGGTTAGCAACTGCTAGGAGTTGGCAACAGAATTCAAGGTGACTTGGATTTGATTTGTTTGTGGCTACATTGAAATTCTAGGCTTATCCCTCTTTTATCTCCACCCCCAGGTCCTGCCACTCCTTCCCTTACAGCTGTAGAGGGCTAAAAGTGTAGGGATACCACTGATTTCAGGTGGGAAACTGTTCCAAGACATTGGGGCAGCTACTGAGAAGGCAAACCTCTAAGATCTCATCAGCTGGCAACTTCTTTTATATCTAGGGAGGTACCCTCAGGGAAAGGTGCAAGTAACCTGTGACATATAGGGCTTTTAAAAGTGATAACCAATACCTTGAATTGCAGCCAGAAAGCAACTGGAAACCAATGAAGCTCACACAGCAGTGGTGTTACTTAGATGAACCATGAGGCATCCAAAACTATTCATGCCACTGCATTGTGCTTTCAGGCGTGGCACGACAAAACCGCGCTGGTCAAAATCGTGGCGATAAAATCGCGGCACTAAAGCCGCGACATCATCACCACGCATCATCACCGCCGCGACAACAGCACGGCAACATAAGGGCGCTTTAAAACGGCGCTGCGGCAGAAAGCCGACTTCATTTAAGGTAAGCGTTAGGATTAGGTTTAGGGGTTTGTTTTAGGGTTAGGTTTAGGGTTAGGTTTAGGG